CGAGGCCCACCCGAGGGGGGCTGAGGGCGAGGCGGGCCGCGTTTTCCAGCAGCAGCTCTGGGTTTAATTGCGTTGTTGGGGCCGGAGCCGGTCAGCACGGCTTGTGCTTGCACTCGTGCAAGTGCCACTGGGGCCTGATCTGTGGAGAGATAGGAAATCTCCTCAAAGACGCTATTAAGGAAGATCAAACACCTAAACGTATTGTGTTTCTTGGCAGCTTGTCACCCTTCGGTTGGGTAGCTCTCAAATATGAGGTCCCTTTTATGCACTTTAAGAAACAAGTTTGTGATGAGTAGGTGTCACCTGATTAGAATCGATCCCTTCTCAAGAGAGAAGGTCATCTGTGGGCTCTGTAGAGTGTAAGTGATAAACAAATGCGATGTTTATGCTGTGTCAGCACAGCATTCAAAATACTGAAATATTTGGCTTGTTTTAGACCAGGGGCTTGTTTTAGACCAGCCAAGTTATTTTGGTATATTGGGCTGCCAGCAAAGTTTATGTTGAATTAATGTGGTATAGAGATGCCAGCTGGTAATGTGAGGCAAAATACTGAAGGGTCGTTTGTTTCTTTTTTTTTTCCTCTGCATACGAAGGGTGGAGATGGGAGCCTGAGTATTCTCAGGGCTTGTGTAACCTGGCTGGGATGAGGGCTGGGCTTTAAGTAAGTACCGGTGGAGGCAGGAGTTCACCCATCTGTGGTCAGGCTGAATGAGCTTGTGCTCAGGCTGGTAACTCTGCCTTGGCAAACTATAGAAAAAAAATGTGAGTAATGGTACGTAGAACTTTCCTGTATTTTATCTCCAAAGATTGTAATTGCAAGTTCAGTAAGTGACTATTAACAACGAGTAAATACTTTCCGAGAGGATATTTAAATAAAAATGCAATTTTATTCAATAGTTAGATTGTATGGGGACAGCCAGTTAAGGTAGTGATGATGCTGTGATTCATGGGTTTGTAAAATATTTAGCTGAAGATTATATCTTTAAAAATGCAATTGCCTTATTGTTATCATCTTAGAAGAACAATTGAAATTAATGGACTTGAAACATTTTGTATCAGGAATTCTGAAGCAATGCAGGTGCTGCATGATTTGCAGTTTTTGGGTGGTTAGAAAGGTTCTTAAGGATGTGATATGTTTATGATAGCAGACGAGACTAGAGAGCTGATGTTGTTGCTCTATTCTGGCCATCTGCCTGACATTTCAAACAAACTTTAGTTTGCAGAGGTTCTTCTGAACCACTGCAGTTTTGAGCCCAGTGTATTAAAATATACTCTCTCTAACTCCCTCTGTGTGTGTGTGTGTGTGTTGTTTTACCTTAGTGCATCATACTCAAAGCTAGAGATTTCCCCAAACCTTATTCTTGAGAGTCTGTTTACCAGTCTTCAGTGTAAAAGTGCTGCAGTGTTTTACCATGGAGCAGCTGTGTTTGGCAGAAAGCTTGCCAAAGGTTTTTGTGCACCGAATTAGAGGTCTTGTGAGCTTGGAAGCCGCTTCTCCAGCTTGTGTTCCAGCAGCTGTGAGCAGGTACCTGCGTGGGGCAGCACGGTCCCTTTGCTAGGGGTCAGCTCAGCCTGTCCCCCCATAGCGTTTATGCTACTGTAGCCAGAGCAGGAGTACATTTAGATGCCAACCACCGATTCCCCCGGTGCCGCATCTGGCCTTCTCAGGGGAGCTGTCTGGCTACATGTGACCTCCCTCACTACAAGTGAGTAATTGGATTACTTGGTTATTTCTTGACCCTTACTCAATTACAAAGGCAAGGTACAGACCACTTTTTTTGGGTGGGAAATACAGAAAAACTGCACAAAGCCAGATTGCTTGTGACACCTAGAATTTAAATATGGATAAATGGAGTTTTATTTCTGTCATTAATAAAAAGATTTATGTGCCCTTGTGTTTCCAAAGCTTCCCAGTTTCCCTTTATTGCCATGCTCTTGGGAGAGCTGTATTATGCTTGGCACTGCATGAAGATAGAGAGCTGTGCAGTCAGCTGGCTCAAAGTAGGATGGTATCACAAAAACTGCGTAGTGTCGGTGTCATTAGCATGAAGGGTGAGCATGTCATTTCTTTAAGGAGGAGAAATTTCATGTTGAATGAACTTGCCACTTCTGGGACTGGCAAACACAAAAACATCTTTTTTTAATCAGTGAAGCTGGGCCTGGGAAAACTAGGGAAACAGAAACTTTTTGTGACTGAACCTGTGCACCACAGCATGAGGAACTGTGCCAACAAGCATGCAGCTCTGTGCTTATATTTGGAAAACTCTTACAAATCCATGCACCCCCCAGGAGCTTCATTATTTTCAGGTGCAGCTTGCTGGCCTTCCTGACCTGCCCACGTTCAGATAGCACGGGGCAGGTGTACATGTTTCTGGTGGATTGGGGAGGCTGTTGAGCAATGCAAGAAATTTCTTTCCAACTAATTGTTTAGAACTTGGAAGTTCTTACAGTCACTTAGGTACTTTTGGACACTGTGAGAATTGTATGTAGAGTACCAGGTCTGTGCACCTCAGGAGTCAGTGGGTGTGATGCTATGGATGCTGAGCATATGCAACTCGTACCGTAAGTGCTCCTTTTAGTTTTAGAAGGTTACCTTGTCGAACACCGGTCGCTGTCGGCTTCTGGTGTTCAGGATGTGATCTCTCCCATGTGAGGGGTGGGTGTTGTGGCAGGGAGGGTGGGGGTGGTTTGCTTTCGTGGTGGTTCACCTAGAACTGGAGGGAAGTCTCTGGGTACTTACTGGTGCTTCTGCAGCTCAAGTCTGTCCTCTCAAAATTTCAAGGCTGTGGGGTGTATCTGTGTTTAGCAGTCCGGTGTGCTGTCTGAATAAATTCTTAATGAAATAAGGTTTGCCAGGAGATGTTTTGTGTTTATAATTCTTGCTCTTGCAATAACTTCTGAAACTGCCTGGCAGCTTCACTTTGCCATGTTCATGAGAAACAAGAAGTTCAACCTGAAGTGACTGGTGTTATGGGAGAGACTCCCTTAGGTGCTTTCACGTTACCTCCCTGAACGGAGGGAAAGGCAGCAGACAGCTCGAGCTCCTCCTCTGCCAGGTCCTAGAGAAGCCCCCTTGTAGGACATGTCTGAGTCACTGACTGCAAGAGAAGCTGCAAGCCTGAGGAAGCAGTTAGGGAGCATGACCCAGAAAAACAGAGTTCCTTAATTCCGCTCTTGTGAAACCATTTATTTAAGGGCAGGAAAGCTCAGCGTAGATAGTAAGCAAGTGCTGTCTACATTTGACTAAAGTTATCCCATCCAGGATCTCTTGGGCTCTTTGTGACTCTCTTCATAAGCTAAAGCTTCTGCCTGCAGCGACTGCTTTGAGGGTAGCTCTACACTCTTGGTAGTTTAATATGTGGTGCTTAATTGGCCCTGGGTAGAGCCCACTAAAGTGAAAGCCACGTGCACAGTGTTCGCACACAGCCAGCGTCAGAGGGGAGGCTCAGCTCCTGCTTTTGCCTGTTACCCAGCTGGCTCTCCTGTCTCTTGTTGCTCTTGGCTAGAGATGTCCTGTACCAGCATGTTGAATTAGTAGCGTGGAGGCAATTACTTTGGGTTTAGTCAGCCAGGCTGCAGGTTGCTTTGAGTGACTGAGAGCTGTGGGTAGACTGAGAGCAGTTAATGCTTGATATGTGGGGAGAATATTTACATCCTTATTTCTACAGAAAATTATTTCCACAGAGCATGAAAGCATCTTAAAGGCTGCTTCTACAGACCCGCCTCAGGTTCCAGTTAGAAGTGACAAATGAGGGATTCTGTGCTGCTATTGCTGCCTGCATTGGTGGCTATTGACTGGGACTGATGTCGTAGCTTTTTGCTACTTTACAGAAGTTTGCTAACAGTCAGTGCATGTCACTGCAGAACTAATGATTCCAGGTTATCCTCTAATGAATCTTTGGCTTATGTGGCACTAATATTCTAAGGTTCTGGCATTCCTTACAGAAAACTTCCCTCATGTAATCTGGATTTTTTTCTAGGTTCTGATTTTGTGAATATGTTAAGCAGATAAACAGATTCTAAGAGGAAGGTTTTGTAGATGTCAAGTCTACTATTTTGCATATTAGAGTATTTTGTTCTAGACAAGTCATATGAAGTTGATTTCTGCAGAATTGGACAGGCATTGAATAAACTGCTTGTTTTGTACGAGGTATGACAGACTAAAATAATCTACAGTGAAAAGGCTTAAGTTGTAAATCTTTTGGAAGGTGAATATAACATGAAAAAGGCAGTGGGTAACTGGGTAAAGTAAGTGTCTTCAGTAACATCTGAAAAGTAAAGGAAGCTCTCCCCTTTACTCTAGAGGCTATAGGGCAAGATTGATAGAACTTCATATTGCAGTTACTGTTGGCATTACATATAACAGTGAAAAAACAATACTGGCAAAATGCTTCTGAGTTCCTCTCTTGGTAATTAAATGTAGACCCAAAGTTTCTGGGGGCAGTGGATATCCACTGCTTAGGCTCTGTCCTAATGGTGTGATTGGGTTATTTGAGCTGCTTTGGCTGCAAAATTGCATGTGTCTGTTCCCTGCAGCTTTTGGAGTGTTGATGAAATCAGAACTTGTATAGGGCCCTCTTTTTCTCCGAGTGTCAACAGGAGACTGTTGGTGACATGACAGCGCTTACATAGATGTGTCTGTGCTGCCTCTCATTAAGAGTAAGGTGAAAAGCAAGGTCCAGTGTTGGCACCTTATGGAAAGATTTTGCTTTTTGACCTGCTTTTTGAGAATTCATTAAGCTTGTGGTTTGACTGTAATCTCCTTAAACTAGATATTTATTTCAATTATCTGTTGCAGCTGTTGAAGCTACTCACTTGTCTGAGTAGCAACTGTTGTTTCATTACTCACTAAATGAATGGTTGTTTAAAAAAAAAATAAAATCCCCCTCAGCCTATTTTTGGTCTTGGTCCAAAAGGGTTTGGTCCAAAGTATTAGTTTGAATGTTAGAAACCATATCTGCAAACAGCAGTAGTTTCTAGAACTACAGTTTTGCACAGGTGGGAATGTAATTCTAATGTAGAAATTGGCACTGGTCACTTTTAGTAAATTCTTTTTAACTTTTTGATAGGTACAAGAGAACTCACCAGGACATAGAGCGGGATTGGAACCCTTCTTTGATTTTATCGTCTCTATTAACGGTTCCAGATTGGTAAGTGCTGACTGCATACAAGCAGTGTATTGAGAAACTGATTTTAAAGGTGAACTAATGCATTTGTTTTATTAAAATGTATATAAAATATTTATCCTTAAAGGGGAATGCCTAACTGCATCAGAAACCAATGTTTTACACCCCCTAGTTACACTTCTATCAAAAGGTGAAGAATAAGGGTGCGGAGAGCTGTGCTGTGTGCACGCATCTGCACCAGGAGAAGATGCTGCCTGCTGACCCACCTCTAGCTGCTTGTGCTAGACCCCTCGGGTCTGTCTGCAGAGCCGTGCGGACGCTCGTGAGCTTGTTTCAGTTGGAACAGGCTGCCTCAAAGAGCTGTCGCCGAGGCTGTTAGCTGCAGAGCAGTCCTGCGAGGAGGCTGTTGCGCAGAGCGGTAGGGAGCTGTCGGAGCGTGAGGAGCCGGGGCTGTGCCGGCTTGTGCTCATCTCTGCTGAGGGGACACCCGCTATCCCCGACGAGGTTTGGTCCTTATGAGGTGTATGAAGTAGGCCCTGCAGTTGCTTTAAAAAACCATTTGGCACCGGAGTTGGTCAAAATGGAAGAACAAGGGCTAGTCATACTCTCCTGAGCTTGTTCGTACTTTCTTCTGCCCTGCCAAAGAAAGAGCTAGGTATAGGAAATAGAAATATTTTATCTTACACAGTTCTCACGGATTTGGAATTTTGCTTCAGGACAAAGCAGAGAGTTTGTCACTGAAAGTCAGGTTAGCCTGGAAGTTCTGCCCCCTGCGCCCTGCCCTGCCCTTTTTTTTTTTTTTTTTTTTTTTTGCTCCTGCTGTTCATGACCTGCAGTTGTTGCTACAGGAGATGAAGCTTCTGAAAGGAAAGTGTCTGTTTACAGTGTTTATCTTGTTGCCCAGTGTTTGTAATATGTGATGGTGAGTTAATATTTACCCAAGCTTTCAACCCAGATTTGCAAGCATTGGAGACTATGTGAGTGCTATGTTTGTGTTGGCATTCCTTTCTTTTTGTGTGTCCAGCTAAAGTACAAGCACTTAAAGTCAACAGCATCAGAAACTCATTTTAAGAGATAAGTTTTGAAAGTAATTGTCAGCGTTTTGTAGCCTGCAAAAGATGTACCGCAGTCTAATTCATCTTTTGGTTCTCTGGAGCTGAAAGTGCTAGGGTTTGACTGAAGTCCTCTTTCCAAATTCTGTTACTCTACAGCAGATATGTATATATATTTTAAAACTGCTCTTCCAAGTCAGTTTGCTAGCATTTTAAATTAAACAAAGAATTACTTAAAAAAATAAAGATTTGGATTACCTTTGGAACAGGCTGTATCTAAATCACACAAGGTAACACTGCATTAGAATTGTTAAGCTAAATCAGGGCAACATGTGTGAAATGTGGCATTCTGATAAAACATAACCCAGACATGACGTGGGGTGCAGCTGAGTCTGGACCAGATGTCTCTGGGCCGTGCAGCTTCCCTGTGGTCCCAGATGGGGACCATGTGCTGCCTCCAGTTGTGGAGGTAGCTCCATCCCTGTCCTCTGCTCCCCTTGCAGCGCAGGCGTCCCCAGTATCTGCTGGCAAACGCAGCTTCATGCCGTGTGCTTGGCTGCTCCTGCTTTCACTGTTTTTTTTGTAGTTCCACAAGGTGGTGTCACTCTGCATTCTGAGTACCAAAAAAGCAAGTTCCTCTGGTTAGTTTGTGTGTCAGTACATTAACCCTGTCATTAACTACTTGGCTATAAGGAAAGTTTACTGCTATGGATATGAGCTTTGTTACAGGTACTGAGTCTATGAATGGCAAATACCTCCATATTTAATGTCAGGTTCCTGCACATCGTGTTGCAGGTTTAACCGTATTTTTTATACCTATTTACACACACACACACACACACACACACATATATATGTTTATATTTGGAGAGGAAGACTTGTTGCTGTGCAATTCAAGGTCCTCTGAAATTGTATCGCAGAATTGGTAAGGACTTCAAGCTTGCTATGAAATAGCTGTGGGGATGTATCCTGATAATGCGCAATGCTTATGGGATCGCTGAAATGCACAAGTGGTGCTCGAAAACTGGGCGCTTACTGTGTTTCAACACTAAACCAAGCTTTTGTTTGAATGCTTGCAGAATAAAGACAATGACACGCTCAAGGACCTGCTGAAAGCGAATGTTGAAAAACCTGTAAAAATGCTGGTGTACAGCAGCAAAACCCTGGAACTGAGAGAAACGTCGGTGACCCCCAGCAACATGTGGGGTGGGCAGGGCCTGCTGGGCGTCAGCATTCGTTTCTGCAGCTTTGACGGGGCCAACGAGAATGTCTGGCATGTCTTGGTGCGTATAAACTTTCAGATAATTTTCTTGCTGGACAATGTGCTGCTTACTCTTAAGGTCTTTTTACTGAAGACTAACTTGGGGTCAAATTGGTCTGTTTTCTCACTGTTTTCAGAAATAATTTTAAAATAGAACTGTATGCACGTATGTTTTCAAATCTTACTTTGAAGTTAGTGGTGTTACACAACATTCAGAATTGCTGCAACAGTAGCTGGAGAGACTGTCCTTTAGCCACTGTTTTACTAGCTCAGTGACTGTCGCACTAATTTCATGAAGAACCTCACCGTCTTGTATGTCTGAATCGGCATCTGAGGCACCTGTGCGGCTGCTTTGCTCACTCGGGCAGTTGTGTAACGTTCTGAAACTTTCTGTCTTCAAACTAGGAAGTGGAACCAAACTCTCCTGCTGCGTTAGCTGGACTTAGACCTCACAGTGACTATATCATTGGAGCAGATACTGTCATGAATGAGGTAATATAAATAAGATTTTCAAATATTTAAACTAAAAAGCAGTACCTGGGCAGCTGGAAAGATCCCAGATTCTGCTTCTGTTTGGTGCTAATGGAAGCAACTTAGTGCAAAAGGGAAGGAGTTTGGGCATGCTGCCTCTTCATTGTGCTTAAATGAAGTTCTAGAAATAAAACTGCTAAATATCTTGATGTAGTCATATATGAAGTTTTATTTTTGTACTTAACATTAGAATTTTGAATAAGAGATTTAAAATCTAGGTTTGCCATGTGTCTTCTGCGTTGTTAGCACAACACAGTGCTAAAGTTGTCCTTACGATAACGTAGCAGCAGTGCAACAAATACTCAGCAGTTCCCTGCCTTTGGCACAGGAGGTTGGTGCTAAGAACATGACCCCTCGTGTGTCACATGCTGCAGTTAGGAGGAAGAGCCCTCATGCACTGTTGTTCTCTTACAGTCTGAAGATCTCTTCTCCCTTATTGAAACACATGAAGCGAAGCCATTAAAACTTTATGTGTACAACACAGACACAGATAACTGTCGAGAAGTGGTGATCACTCCAAACTCTGCCTGGGGTGGAGAAGGCAGGTAAGGAAACGATGTATTATCTAGGGTGAGGAAAAGGTGGCTGCTTATAGTGCTAGCCGAGAAGCTGCTGGGTTAAGTTCTCTGTGAAGACAAAAAAGGTAGTTATATGGCAAATTATATACTTGAAATTCAGGTTTAGTTACTAATGGAGTGGAGGTGTGTGGGGATATTTCTTAAGTGAATTAGTTCAAAAATGCACAAAGTGCATTAGACTTCAGGTAACTGTTACTGTGATGTATCCGGGAAGTACTGTGCCGTAGCCAGAAGAGAGGCCTGCAAATTACAGGCCAGGGTGAATTGTAAGCTATCTAGCTGCTTGTCCCGCATAACACTAAAGTTGGGTTTGGTTTGGCTACATGATTATTGCTAACAACTACAGAATTTCCTTCCAGTTATCTACTACTATTTATTTACAGAAAATGAAGCAATATTTATCTTTTTCAATGCAGTTGAACAGAACATCTTGAGTCATTTATGCATGGCTTGCTATGGAATCCACACTGCTTGAGCATGGATATTAGCATGCCATTATGCTTGCTATGGAATCCACACTGCTTGAGCAGTTTCACTGACTTTTAAATGCTTATATTTTAAAGCCTAGGCTGTGGCATTGGCTATGGCTATTTGCATAGGATACCTACACGGCCATTTGAAGAAGGAAAGAAAATTTCTCTCCCAGGACAGTTGCCTAGTGCATCACTCAGTCCCCTCAAAGATGGCTTTACAGAGGTACCTTGTAATCTGTTCTTTGCCTTGGTAAAATGGATTATTTTGTGGTTTTTCTGTTTTTATTAGTTCTGTGGGAGCAAAATCCCTAATGGTGTAATTTTTTTTCTCCCCTTAATTAAGGTTCAGCTGTCATCAGTCAGTCCCTCACCT